TGGCCCCTGGAAGGTTTACATGCAGATGAGAGATGATTTCGTAGGATATTAGCTGCCACACTGTGAAGAGAACTTCAGATCGATCAGAGCTTCAAAGTGACCTCTGCCCCGTCATAATGAGCTTGCAAGTAAAAGCCTAGTTAGGAGCCAAACAGCGCTCGTGCGTCGTCCTCAGACACTTTAATTTGTCGACGCTGGAATCCGGCCAAGGTTCCTCCTGGATGATCTCGAACACGTACGCGTAGTCGCTTCGTCCCGCGGATCGACTTGAGTACCGAGTGCTATCCAGAACGAGTGCTGAAGAAGGAGCAGAGTTACTTACTGCAGGTTGGCCAAACGAGGAACAAAATGCTTTTTCCTACATGTGCTTCGGCACCTATGCTGCTTGCTCAGTGCACTGAGCCCTGTTACATTTGCAGGTCAGTTCCAACACGGACGGAGGTAGCATGCCGGCCGCACTGCGCGTGTTTTAAGGCTATGAGCGACAACATGCAGTGTCAAACGTCAGATTGATGACTTTCCTGATACGCAAGGCCACTCTTGCCCACCTGCGCGAGTGGAATGTAGTCTCTCTGAGATCGGACATGGCGCCGCATCGAACTCGGAGAAACCTGCCGCTCGTCATGGGATATCGCAAACCGCGTAGCGGCCAATATGCATGTCGCCGTTCTCTGAACAAACTCGGGCGTGTGGGTGTTGGCGACGTCTTTGTATGGCTGAAGATGCTTCACCGTGGTTTTCGGGTCTGGTACCCAGTCCTCACCCTGTCGCCCTGCCGATGAGCTGCATTGCGTGTTCAATTCGCGAACTCCCAACGTGATCCAGGGTAAAGCTGCCCTTTTCTGCTTGCCGCAACATGGGACCGAGTTTGCAATAGGAGCTCCACCAGGACACATCTTCTCCAAGCCGTTTCCGCCCGCTATACTCGCGGCCGCGATGATACCGGAAGACTTGGCCGACTTGAACTTGCATCATAAACCCTCAGCTGCCCGCCCAGAGAGCTTGCCGCCATCGAATAAGGGGTCAGCGTTTGGAGGGTCAACTCAATGGCGCTGCCGCTTTCATGGAAACACAGGGCTGATGAACGCTTTATCGTTGGCAACTTGCAGACTTCCTGACGACTTATAGGCTGTACCTATGTACCTCTACTTCGTAGAATTCGGAGAAATAGGTGTACGAGCTGCTTTGGTCAGGGTGGACTGGCGCATCTTGAGAGAACGGGGGTCTCCCTGACACCAGTATCGACTGTTTCGCGGGCACCTCTACTAACCGTCTCAATGAGTTGCCTGACTTTGCCCCGGTTGCTCCGGGCGGAGGGAGCCGGGCAGCTCGTTCGTTACAATTGACAGGCTGCCCGTCTCGTTGTGTTCTCATTTGACCGTTTCTAGTTAGACGGTCCGATTGGAGACTGACTGGGCTTCTGCTGCGTCAGAACATCAGTTGGCTGTAACCAACAAGTTTGCGGGGTAATAATGTGTTCAGCAGAGTTGACTGATGCGCTCACCGATTATCACCACACTGGCTAGACACACCCTATAGCGGGTTGTGTGTAGGCATAGATACAGACCGGTACGTCCATCCTAGGTAGTCCGTTTTCTCAGACCCTTCGTTGACAAACCCCGTGGAAGCCCGGACAAGGTGTAATTATCAGATCGGTAGCCGGGCGATTGTGGCTTGTGTCGTTAACCTTCTTCATCTATGAGTACGCGTGAATAAGCTCTTAACCGTGGACAAGGTCAGTGCCACCAGCCACCTGCGTTCCCTGTGCCTCGCTCACTGTGAAGAGTATTCGACTTGTGTATCCGCAGTGCGTAGGCGACCGGCCTTGACGAACATTGGCATTGTCAGCCAAAAACACCTGCGATTCATCTTATGTATTACTCCGTAGACTTCTTTGAGCGAGAGCCCATATCGGGTGGCATAGGATGCGCAGGGGCCAAGAGCCAGAAGTGAAAAGACGTAGAACCAGTTGCTGGCGGTCTGGCAAAACCGCCAACGCATCAAAATAAAACTAACTGAATGAATGATGGGTCAGATGGTTGGGACTAGAGGCGGGCAGGCCGCTTGATCTGCAGCGGCATGCATGAGCAAGCGAGAGAACAAGGAGGCCGCAAGAGAGGATCGCACGCTGCAGGCATCGAGTGGATGGACAGGTGGCCGTTGGATGCATGAGCTGCAGAGACAGCGTCGTCTCCCCGCTTTGATTGATGAATGAGGGAGGCTGCGCCGGCCTCGTCCATCGGAAGTCTGAGGCCCGGCTATTGGCGTGGATGCGGTTCTCACCAACGAAAGCACTGAAGACGTGTGCGTTTTGTGATGGAGAGAATCCTCCTTTTGAGGCTCTGAGCGTCATTTCCGGTTAGTGTTATCAGCAGCGTTGGATGATTCGGCTTGAAGTTAAAGGTGCCACTGGAAGAAAGTGCCATCGCATCCTCATCCAACTGCCATCAGCGTTGGGGACTGGACCCTGGACCTTTCTTTGCCTACCGACTGTTGCTGTTAATAACTCAAGGCACAAGCCAGACTTGGACAGTTCTGCAGTGCAAGGTCACGAGCGGCGGACAAGGTTTGAGCTGCGAGATTGAACTCTCCGGGCGTCTTCTTTTTTGCCTCGCAATAGTGTTAATCTGAGTTATCAGTACGAATGAAGTCGGGCAAATTTTTAGGCGTGGTGAGACCCGAAATTGAAGCCGTTGACCAGCCGCCGATGGCCAGAATGAGCGTCTGGACAATGGCACGAGTACCTACGGAGTCGAGGAGGAATAGGGCTAGTTAGTAGTGGCGATCGACGGGGCCCGTTGCTTTGAGATGTTTCATCCTTGCTTGTCTCCGCTAAATGATTTGTTCGAGAAGGCCTGGAAGATACTGTGTTTGGTCCCCTATCCGTACACTTTGTGGCTGCGGTCTGGAAGCTCGGAGCTGCGTTCGCCATGGTCGAGCGACTTACTGCCAGGGAGGGAGGGGAAGAACAAGAGGGTTGCAGCAGACTGTGATTTTCGAAACCGCTTTGAGGATCCAGAGGTTGAGCGATGAGGACTTCCCGAACGTATAGTGCGCTTGGTTTGGTTTCCAAGCATAGCCAGCACCTGAGCAGGACTGACGGCCAATATGGTATGATCCATGCCCTTAGCATCAACTTTTCTCGCTTTTCGATCCTTTCGGGCCTGCTTTCGTAGGCGGTTTTGTGTTGTCGTATCTGTGGTCGCCGATCTTCTCGGCCGGCAGCCGACACGGTATCTCGCATTGTCCGGCAGGCGGTATTCTTCCCGTGATAGACAGTTGAAATGGCACGGCCGCCCGAGAGTTTTGCAGTTTTGCAATTCAACAGCGCCGATCGTACACCAACCAGTCGCAGGCTCTGATGCTAGGTTGTATTTAATTCCTTATTATTGGCGCTGTTAATAAGACCTCAAGCACGGACATGGCAAGGGCAGTCGATGGTCCACTGGCGCCCGTGCAAAGTTAACGGCGCAGACGGCACCGTATGTCGGAGCCACGTCCGATGTGAGAAACTGAGAATTTCTATGAAGGCTGGGGCGGTGACGGCTGCTGCCCAAGAAGGTTTGGTCGATGTGCCGAATTCGTATCGTGATAGGGCTAAGAAGGCACCACTAGGTGAAAACGCATTAGGTGCAAAAGAAGATTGACGACTCGTCATTTTCTTATGAGACTAGGTCTCGGGGTAGACCACTAGTATGTCTCTGATTAGCGCTGCTTGGGTATGTCGGGCATCCATCATTCCAATCGAGAAACACGAAGAGGAGCCCTGAGGCTTTTGTGAAGACTGCTTGAGCCCTGAGCAGCCAGGCAAGGCAAGGCAAGGCAAGGATGTCATGTGCCAGAGCCGGTGCCTTTGTGTTGTCTCCAGAGACGGCTGATGGCGTTGCCCTCCTCATCAGAAAAGGCTGCGACTCGGCGGGGGAACAGGACGCGGACTCTGGGCGTCTGGTGTAGGTAGTGCAAGCAACGGCCGTAAACCTCCTCGACGTCGGGGGCGTTGCATCGTAAGTATCGTGTGGGTGATGGCCGGGTGGTCAGTCAGGTACATAGGCGGCCGGAGGAGGCGCTTTTCTGACTCTGCCACTTCCGTGCCGCACTTTGCATGTTGCCGCAAGACGGTGCAGCTGCATGTCAGTGCTAGGCCGCCGGGGCTTGGCCATCCGTGGCCGTACACCAACGCCTCGATCGAAATCGGAAAGGTTGAGATAAGGTCAAGTACGTAACGTGGAGAGCCGCTGTGTTATGTGAGGAGAAGTGTCCCTTCACACCGTTTTCAACAAGCAATTGAGAGTTGGATTTCTTGCTGTGATTTTGGCCAATTGATGGCTGCACTGAGAACGACTGACTCACAGTGACGAGACTCCCTCATCGCTGTGATCAATGTGCAGTTCATCCGCGCCGATGAAAGATAGATCTCAGCTCCATGTTGTAAAAGCCTATGGTGGCTTGGTTGAGAAACATTCTGGCTTCTGCCAATGGCGAGATTGACCGTACCTAGTTAGACTTTTGATAGACTTGTTGTGTGCGGGTGTGCGTACTTCGAGCCCCAATGCCATAGGTAGTCCCTGGCGGCGAGACATTAGATTGAACGTCAACCGTTGAGCCCACTGCCTCATAACCGCCCTCACTAATACTCCATATTACTCCGTACAGGCAGCGTATATGGAGAAGAGCTGGCTGGGGTCGGGATCTGCAGCTATTGTGTTCGCGAATACGTTCCATGCGACGTGCCAGCGTGCCCATCACTTCCGCCGCGTTGAAGCCATGTGGGACGGATAGAGCAAGCGATGCAGAACACCACACCAAAGTGATATTCTCGCGGGACCACGTTCTGTTCCTGAAGTAATGGCGGCCAGTCATTGAACGATAGCTCAATACGCCCCCAGTGATGACGACTGGTTTCGCAGTGAGGGTACAGGAAGTGGTGGGAGACAGTTAAGTAGATGTTGCTTTGAATCGATATTCTCGACTTCGAAAGATTTGACTTGGAGGGTTGAAGGCTAGTGTAGTACAGTAGCGTACTGGGTAAGGGCCAGTGAGTGGCGGTAGGCCCCGTCAGAAAAGTAAAGCTCAAGATCTTCGCGCGGCGTGCGGCGTGCGGCCTGCAGGTGGATGGAGTCGCTAGTATTCATAGTGCCATGTACTATGGAGACGAGGCGGGCTTCAAAAGACGATGAGCCGCCATTCCCCCGTGTCAAGTCGTCGTCCAGTATCCGCTGGCAGACATGGAGAAGGAGATGGACATGGATGTCCAGGGTCCTGTTTTTGTTGTGACCGAGAATGGAGATTTCCGATTCTCCCTTGCATGTGTGGACAGTGTGGGTGACTGAGTGCGTTCGAAACGATCATCAGATCAAGCGTGAAGCGTCCATCAAGTGTATGTAGACGGGAGTGTGAGATGTCAGAGCTGAGAGATTGGAAGGTACATCCGAACCCCGGCACCCGTCTTTTTTGAAGCCGAAGCCGAAGCACTTCAACTTTGTAGGTCGTATTGCATTGTAATCTGATTATTCGAAAGCGAGGCAAAGAGAAGGGTGGACGTTGACGTTGACGAATCCAATGAGACGAGATGAAGATGGAATACTCCGTACGTACCTTGCCTTACACCGTTCGTGGGTACGTACTGCAGGATACTCCGTGTCCGTTCCTTCCATCTTGATTTTGAGATGCTGAGGCAGCAGGTGGTGGTGGTGGTGGTGGTGGTGGGCGTGACCTGGAGGTGAGGTGTTTCCAGTCTGCGGTACAGACTCACAGAGTACGTACCGTCCGGTTTCTTCCCTAGGTAGGTAGGTAAGTTGTGCGCTTCTTTCCTTCTATCCATCCTTCCACCATTCCTTCCCTTCCCTTCCCTTCTCCTCCCCTTCCCGTCCGTTGTCCCCTTCCCATTTCTATCATCCTTCATCCATGGCTCCTTCTTCCTCACAGTGACAACAGTACCCCCGTGAGATCCCCCTGTCTTGCGGAAAGAAGGTACGGGCGTGGGTACGTACCGCTCCCTCCTATGCTGACACCACGCCCCTGGTGTGGAATGTCCGTATGTCCTCTGGGCCCTTGCCCGGCCTGCCACCTCCTCACTCGCTCTCTCCCGTCTCCAGTCTCCAGCCCGATGCGATGCAGCGGTGGTCCTTTCTTGCCCTCGTCCCTTCTCCTCATCCACCCCTCCTCCCTGCTCTCTAACGATGGGACTCCACGTTGGCAGTACGTACCTCAAGACTCTGGTTCCATCTCAGGTCTTCTCCTCCCCTCCTCCTCTTCTCCTGCTTTTTTGCACTGGCTGCATTTGCTTTGCATCCTCTATGCATCGCTCTCGCATACTCCGTACACACACCTACTGAGTACGGCTATTCCGCACCCACACGAAGGCTATCCCGCACCCATACTAGGCCTACTCAAGCAAATAGTGGGCTACACGTGACTGCACAGCCGCAGCAGCCACATTTGACCCGGAATCTCTATTATTCCGGCAGTTCTAGAGGATTAGAAGGCGCAGCTTCCACTGCACCTTCCACAACTGCACCTCCCACAACTGCACCTCCCACAACTGCACCTTCCACTGTCTATTGCACCTTCTACTTTGCCCTCTTCTACCGACTATGCGCGAAGTCAAAACCACGACTTCAGAAGCCAGTCCTTGCTCAGGGAAAATACATCTCTAGAGCCCATATTCTGGTGCTCGGACAGGTACTTATCCTGCTTCAAAAATGACAAAAAAAGGTGGTGTTACGCGTCAAAATAGAAATAATAGGAAGGCGCGCGCCCATGGCCTCACATGTGGCTGCTGCGGCTGTGCAGTCACGTGTAGCCCGCTATTTGCTTGAGTAGGCCTAGTATGGGTGCGGGATAGCCTTCGTGTGGGTGCGGAATAACCGTACTCCACCTACTAAACACACGCATTCTGGCACACATAACAAGTACAGTATACACAACACACACAGCAAACCTTACACAGAGAGAAACAGACGAACAATCGTACCTCTCTCTATTTGACGGCTGCCTTCTCTACCGCTCTTTCTCTCCCCTCTCCAATCTCCTCCTGAGCTGTTGAACAAAGTCCCTGGGTTCCCCCGTTTCCCACCCTACTACCCCACCATCCTTCATTCACATCGCACAACTCGGGGTTCCCTCTCTTCCTCATAATTGATGCTCCCTCTTCCATCTTGTCTCGTCTTTCTCTGTTCTTTGTGCATCATAACGTAGCCTTTGGGTGTCCCCCTCTCCACCATCTTCCGAAGCATCTTCCGAAGCAGATACACATCTGTGCCTCTGTCTTCTTGCAGAATCATCTGCCTACAAACCTCGCCACAAACCTCCATACGGCACAACATCCGCGCCATACCTCACAGATACACGGTAGTCTTTGTTTGAGACCCTCGATCCAGCCGTTGAGATCGAAAACACTACGAGTCTTCCCCCCTGCCGACTTCCCCCCTTCAGACTCCAGAGTAGCATCAAGCCGCCTCACCTCGACAAACAAGCCGCCGCCGAAATTCTCCTCTTCACCTTTCCCCTCCCAGCGCTAGCGGCTTCTGTTAGTGCCACTGAGTCCTTGACCCCCATACCTGGCCGCCAAGCATACGAAGGCATAGAAACGGTACATCCATCCACTTGGCCGCATTTCACACATGAGCGACACCGACCTAACTCTCTTCTGATCCTCGTAGGCTTGTAGTACGGATACTCATACCTTAGCCTCTGTCCCCCCCAAACTATCTTCCTTACCGACGCTTATTACCTGCCTATCCATCCACCGATCCATCATCCTTCATCATCCACATACCTTACTTTATATCTCACCTACCCTTTTCCACCCTCGTCCACATTTCCCATCAATCCGAGGCTTGGACACTTCCCGTGCAGATCTCGCCTCTGCTTCTAGTTGCCGATCACACTCGTCCAATTACGGCTCCTTTTCTACCGACGCCTTTAGCACAGCATACCTCACCACCTATTTTACTGTCTGTCGCTTTCTGCCCGACTCACTTTTGCTACGTCTTTGCTGGCACGAGACCGCCGCTAGCCTCGATTCTGATTGCCGGCCAAGTCCAAGCGCAAGGCTTCTTTTTTACTCTTTGCTCTAGCATCGCCTGCTGTAGAAATCATCGACTATTGAGCATCTACCGACTTAAGAGATTGTCGCACCACCACACTCGCGCGAGAGAAGGATCTCTAGATACGCCGACGCTTGCTGGCGGACCATGCTTCACCCATAAGCGCGTCGATCTCTTCCTCTCTTCCCACCATTCCCTGTCGACGACTCTGCAACGCCGATCATCGCCCCAGAATCCACCAAAGAATCCCCTCAAAACCTGCTTCATTCGCTGCTACGTTCCATTGCTGGATAGCATCCCGATTCAAACCTGCCACACTTTCTACAACTAGACGTTGAGGGTCCCCAAACACTCAACGCCTAGTACTCGCTGTAGCAATCACGGCCAGCTCACAAAAGAACGAAGACCAAGACTTGGTCATGGACGCCCTCAAGAACATCGCCAACAATGTCCCCGATTGGCTCAATCGTCTCGACGAGCTTGGGGACCAAATAGACCAACGTCAAGTTGAGCTCGCTGCCCTTGGTGCAGACAGCTCGTCGCGATCAATCAAGAACCGCGGCTCAACCGAATCACTCAAGCCAAAGGACGAACCCGCCAATGCTATCCCTCCAACCGACGACGAATTGAATGCCGAAAAGGCCGACGCTCAACGAGCCACTGGCGCCAAGACACCTCCCCAAGACGAACCGAAAAGCAACGATCAACCCTCTAGCCCTAGTAGCGGCACGCCATCTGCCCTCAAGAAACAAACCGAGCAAGCAATGGCCCTGGCACAAGCTCGAGCTCGTGCTATAGTAGAGAAGAGACCCCGACCGAATTCCGTCCTTTCAGTTGAGGAAGGCGCGCCGATCAAGTACCGATCACGAAAACTGGTCATGGTCTACTACGACAGCTATGTGCAGCTCTTTTTTGAAGAGCTAGTCAAATTTGTGTCAGCTAGCCGCAACCTGATGCGCAAGGCCAAAATGGCAGCAAAGGTGGCACAGATTCGTCGCTTGGCGGAACAAGAACTACCCGAAGACGAAGACGGCGATAAGGCTGGCGATCTCCAGCCAGATACCAATACCAGTGCCTCCGACGCGCTGCCGTCCTTGCGGTACATGAGCACAAGGCGAATGGGACCCGGCGGTCGGAGGGGTCCTTCATTTACGAGAGCCGGACAGGCCGGCGGTGGTGGTGCAATGATGGGTGATGGGGGCCCGGATGCCTATGACGAGCTGGACAAGTGTCTTGAATACGTGCAAAATCAGTGCGAGCACGCGGCACACCAGTTCCTGCGTGATGGAGAGTGTTCAGAAGAAGTTGGCAACATTCAACGTCGGTTGGCGGAGACAAAGGAGCTAGCCCTGAAGGAGATGGAGCGAGTCCAGAAAGAGGAGCCCGAGCTGCTGAAGGCGGCCAGCGAGGCGAACAAGGTGCGGACTCTTCGACCAACGAGCATGCGGCGGGAGCTCACGGCCGCCAAGGACAGCAACCCACCCATCACACCTAGGAAGCTCGAGGTTGATGCAAAGATTGAGGCCGATACCAAGACTCCAGTTGCTAAGACGATCGAGGTGGACATGTCGAAGCCACTCGAGGCAGACGATGGGCCGATTGAGGCCGACAACGACGAGGGCATCGACGACATGGAAATCACCCTGCCGCCTCGGCTGAACTATCGATCTACGAGGGCGATGCGTGGCTAGACGCCATCATCGGATATTGCAACCCATTTACAAAAGGCATATTTCTGTTTTCTTTATTTTAATGAATGAAACGGCCTCACCTGGGGATAAGAGGAGCATTGACTGGGAGCCAACGAGAACCAAAACGGGGGCGCGGGGGGAGGGGGGGGTTGGTAGGCACGTGGACAGAAGAGGGTCAAAAGATTTGCCGCCGATGATATCAAAAAACAACATGCATAGCATAGCGTCTGCTTCTTCACCATCGCTCGAATTGCATAGGAGGTCGCTTGCGTCGTACATATTTGAACTGAGGAGGGATTCTTTCTGGAAAGAGAAAGAGATGGCGAGAGAGTTGGGTTTACTGTGAAGCACAAGGCGAGGGAATCACATTTTATTTTACTGTCTTTAATAGTACGGAGAAGAGGACGGGCCTCGAGTCAACCGTCTCAGGTACAGCAGCAGCAGCAGCAGCAGCAGTGTCTAGCTGATCTGCCGAGTCAATCGAAAGGTTTCTTGCATCATGATGATGTCTGCTTGTTGAGTTCGTGCCCTGTATGCCAGTCTATTGATGTATTATTCCATACTCTACTCCGTAGAGTAAGTGCGTAGAGTAAGTGCGTATTCGTCATCCATACGTGAAAGGCACTCCCGATATGCCTCATCCCACTTCTCCGTTCTCTCGTTCCTTCTCAAGATGATTATACCTCATGGTACAGCAGGTAATTGAGGCGGGCGGATAACCTCTCATTCACACGACTGGAGCCAAGTCTTTATGTCATTTCCCTTCTCAGCATACTATGTTTCTTGCCGAAACGTTTTCCTCGTGGCGGCCACGAGGATTCCGGCGCCCTTGATCCCGCCGTCATGGCAAGGGCTCAGGACGATTCTCACCGGCAGAGGCGACTGTGATTCCGGCCCGCCCGCAGAGTACTCTAGCTTCACGATCTTGTCCAAAAAGTCTTGTGTGTCGGCGAGGTAATCTTGGAAATGGGAGATGCAGCCACCCGTGTAACCGACACCTAGCTCCATACTAGGAGGAATGCCTTGCTTCCGCTGCTGGTGGTGGTGATTGTGTTGGTGGTTTTCGTCTTGATGATGATGGTGGTGGCCCTTTGGGACAGGAGGTGGTACGTCTTCTGCGAATTTTAAGAGGGCGAAGGTGGCGGCTGCGACGATGCCTGCGGCACGGATCTCGATTGCTTTTGCGATGTGGTAGAGGGCTGCCGCGATTGTTGGTGTCCATTGGAAGGGGGTGGATGGTCCCGTTCCTGCTTCTATCTCTCCTACTGGGAACTGCTTTTCCAGCATCGACTGTAGAGGGGACGGGTCGGAAGGATTGTCATCGGCAGGTTTAAAGTGGCTCAGGAACGTCGTCGTCAGCGCGTACCTCGTGAGCAAGCCTTCTGGTAATGAGGATTCGTCGAAGCCAAGAACG